TAGGGTGTTGGCTACTCCTGCCAGCTTAGCATCCCCTGCACATTTGGTGAGTTCCCCTTCTCTTCCCTCATCTAAGTCTAGTTTAGGAAGATACTGAAGAGCACTGGGCCTAAGAGAGAACCTTGTGGTGCCCCACTGCTTACTTCCCTCCCTTTCAAGAATGTGGATCCTCACTTTTAACTTTAAGAGTTGTGATTTCGACCTGCAGTTTTTCGTAGCAATGACAGAGTGACTATGTCCTGGGCTATTTCCGGATGAAAGGGGGAGAAAGAAAGTCCAGCAGAGCTAACCTCCTGTCAATCAGACCTTGGATTACTTCTATGAGGCAGTCAAAAGCTCCAAGATTTCTAGTTCAGGATTATTTGCTTCTGTCCCTTGTTTCTGCCCTTTGGATTCACAGAAGGCCAACTGCGTGGGAAACTTACCTGGGGTCTCATGCGGGGGTCCCAACGTACATAGTAGTTGACCCACAATTCCAGGTGACTTAAGCTGGCTACTGGGTAGAGAACGTGGTTCTTGTAGTTGACATAGAAAGGGTTGCTGAAGTCTTCCACCTGGCTGTTGATGTAGGACCACAGAGAGACGGTTTTGGTGTTTATCTCCTGAGCAAAACAAACAAGGTTATGAAAAGGTTATGCCTGCAATGTGTATATAGACAGCGTCTTGCCAGACTAAATTTATAATATTCTTAACCGAAATACCCTAGAGATTCTAGGGAGTGGCTGTCCTAAATCTTATCTTCCTAAATACCCTCTAATTTCCTCTTCCCACGGTCCTCCTTGTAGGAGAAGAGCAGGCAGAGGACAGAGTTAAGTGCACCCTTAGTTCAGAATGCTGGTGTTGCCACAAGACACTCAAGTCCAGCCCCCTCTGCTCCTCTTGAATTCTGTTGCCCCGAATCCAGCGCCAATTTCCCACTGATCATTAGTTGGCCAGATTCCTGAGTACAGCTAATCCTTGACTTACAACTCTTGGTTTAATGACTGTTTGAAGTTGCAATGGCACTGAGAAAGGGGATTTATGACCATTTCTCACACTTATGACCGTTGCAACACACCCATGGTCATGTGGTTTAAAAATGCTTGGCAACTGGCATGTTTCTGTGAGTGTTGCAGTGTCCTGGGGTTGTGTAATTCCTTTTTGTGATGGGCAAAGGTCAATGGGGAAGCCGGACTCACTTAAAAACTGCAGAGATCCACCTAACACAGTGTTTCTCAACGTTGGCAACTTGAAGATGTCCCGACTTCAACTCCCAGAATTCCCCAGCCAGCGAACGCTGGCTGGGGAATTCTGGGAGTTGAAGTCCGGAGATCTTCAAGTTGCCAAGGTTGAGAAACACTGACCTAACAGCTGTGGCAAGGAATGTTGTAAAACGGGGCAAAACTCACTTAACAATTCTCTCACTTGGCAACAGAAATTTCGGGCTCAGTTGTGGCCATAAGTTAAGGACTGGCCTGCATAGAATATTCTATGGGAGGATTATTTTAGAACACTGAGCAATAGTGCTGTTTTACGTTAACATTTATTGGGTTTATTAATATTTGGGCACGCATGGTAAGTAGCAGGCTGGGGTAGCCACGATGCCCTCGTCACAGTGAGTGATGCCCGTTTGAGGCCAAGGCAGGTGGGAAACAAGATAAAAAACCGAAACAATGAAATGGTCTGAACGTCAGCAAATTCTACAGCATGGAATCAATGAAGTGCTACTATAGGAAAAACCAAAACAGGTACAATCTCTCATACCTGCCTAAAATATTGTGGGTTGTAATTAAAGGGCTACGTTTTAACTGGGGTCATTAAAATTCTAAGTCGAGCCCCATCTTCCCTCTACAGCCGTTATTAAATCAAGCTTTCGGAATCAGAATCCATTATCTGACTCCTCTCGCAATTTCCTATTCCTCCGGTGCTCTAAAGCATCTGTTTCCACTACAGTCATCTCTTTAAATGGCATTTTCTTCCCCCCACCCCATCCTTCCTTTCTTCTTTCCTATTTTTTCTTCTCCCTGAAAGAGGGAGCCGCGTTAGATTATCCCTTCATGAGAGGCTGAGAGGCTGTTCTGGGGAGGAGGGTGTAATTCAGCTCCATCTTGTGGCGCAGCTACGCAATTGGGCTGTGGCTCCTTCGAACACGAAAGCAAAGGGTATTTTAAAGCAACGGTCACCAACTGGGGATCTGGGAGAAAATTCTGGTGTTCCGCAGAAAAATTATTTGCATTTTTTATATTGCACTAAATCAGGGGTCCTCAAACTGCGGCCCCTGGGATGGATACGTGCAATGAACGCCTGTGTTGCTGCAGAGAGTCTCCCCCTTCGGGGTCTTTTTGTGAGGGTCGGAGGGGGGCAGAAATTCTGACTTGGGGTCTGCTTCAGCCTCCTGGTGGGGGGCTTTGGGCGAAGACTAGAGGGAAGCACCGCTGGTGGCGAAGAGCCGGAGGGCCTCGTTCCAGTGGGACTGCATCATGGGCTGGAACTGCCTGATCATCTCAGCCCTCT